AAAACATTTTCTTTCTACTTGAGCCCTTGGTATCAGCTGTTTTTCCCCACCCTCCCCTACACTCGTGAATTCTTGATCAATTATATATATATATATTATTATTTCAAATCTTACAATGTCTGTTGTTTCCCTTCACCCACATTTCTATTATTTGTCACCCTTGGGGGAGGGGGTGGGGGAGGTGCTATATATCCAATTCTGTGATTGGTTCTCCCTCTCTTTCTGCACCATCCTCCCTGTCATGTCCCTTCCCTCATGTTATCCCTACTCCAGCTACAGCTCCTGAGGGTTTATCTGTCCTGGATTCCATGTGTCAAGAGCTCTTATCGGTACCAATGTGTGTACTCCAGTCTAGCCGGATCTGTAAGGTAAAACTGGGTCACAATAGGGGGAGGGGGGGAGGGAGGGATGGATGGGCATTCAGAGGGATGTTGTGTGTTTCGTCGTTTCTATACTGCATCTTGGTTGAATCGTACCTTCCTTGTGACCCTCCTGTGGGGTGAGCGAGTATTTCTTTTAAAAAGGCATTTCACAGCATCAGGAGGTACCTGGTGGCCAAAGATAGTATTTGTCTGTCCATTCCCTTCTCTAATTCAGATTATCGAAAAACTGAGACAGAATTGTTGTTTGGGTTGGAAGCTATCATGTGGTGGCTTTGGAAAAGAATGCTCTCTCATTTAGTAAGTCTCATATATCCAGTACCTACTTTATGTCACGTACTGTCCTAAGCACTGAAAATGTCTGTTTGCTTCTCGAATCCTCCCAACACTATACTATCAGAAAAGAAATGGGGAAATAATTGAACTTGGGGCGTTTTCTATACAGAAGGAAACGGTTTCCAGAACCCCTACACTGTTAGGTGTCTTACATGTTACTTCACATAAAATCTTTTAGGTAAACATTGCTATACTTGTAGCCCCTGGTGGTGCCCAGTAAATGGATTTGCCTGCTAACAAAAAGCTGGGCAGTTTGAGCTTAGCAAGATGCCTCAGAAGACAGGTCCAATCACCTACTTCAGACCATCAGTTTTATATTCAACATGCGCTTTTGTTTCAACTCATTCACTGCAATCTCTGCAATGTAACACCAATTACCCAACTCCCATGTTTCTTCTTTCCCAACCGTCCTGAACTTTGTCCTTGGGCAAATGTTGCCCCTGCGATCTCATTTAAGGAGACCAATGTTCCCTGTTTACCTAGAATGCAGAG